CCCATTTCTTTCCTGGCTTCCAGTCTTCCCGCCCGCTCGCTCCAGTAATTGCTTCTTCTTGCATCAGTGCGACGGTGTGGATCGGAATTTTGTGTTCCTTTATCTCTATCCGTCAGCCCGGCTTTTCTCCTCCCCATTACACCTTTCCCATCGCAGACCACACTCGTTTTTCTTCCCCTCTCTTTTTTTTCCTTCTTAATATACACAGTACTCGTCAATACAGGGACCGGTGCTCTTGCATCGTGTCGACCGCAATTCAGCATGGCCGACGACAGCGAGCTAATGAAAACCTGTGTAGTGGGAGGGAATCCAGTTTCTGCCTTTCTATCATGGAGATTACAAGCGACGAATGCTTGCGACGTTACACTGGTGTGGAAGTCGGGATTCGATCACGTTGCGCAATACGGCATTTCCTTCAAGTACGTCGCCTATTCTCTCCTGCGACCTGCGGGCGCGCGTCTAACCAAACATTTTCAGGTCTCCCATATTTGGCAACGAAAGATTTAAGCCGCGACACGGTAAGTTCCCAATGCACCATGGTCGGCAGAGGAATGTAAAGATTGCTGACAGTCTGAACCCGCAGTTGTACGCGTTCCCGAAGAAGCCGCACACGGCGGTGGCCCATTTGATTATGTGATCCTTTGCATCAAGGCTCTCCCCGACGTTTACGACCTCGCCGCCGTCATTGACGCCGTCGTCACCCCTCAACACACGTGCATCCTCGTTAACACGACGCATACTCTCGGTGTCGAGGCCGCTATTGAGGAACGATTCCCCACGAACGTTGTGCTTTCGCTGGTTTCCAATGCCGAACTCTCCCAACTGGGCCAGAGTGAATTCGAACACAAGGGCTCAACAGAAGTCTGGGTTGGACCCTCCTGCAAAAATGATAACATTCCCGGCGCAATCCAGAGCGATATGGCCGAGGCATTGGCGATGACGTTGAACACGGCTCAGGTCGACTGCAAAGTTTCCCAGAACATCCGTCAGCAGCAGTATGAGCGGGTCATTGGGTAAGCCTGGATATGAATAGATTCCGTTCGGTAGCCTTGCTGACCTGACGACAGACCTATTGCTTTCCACCCCGCCAGCGTCATCTTCGAGACAGCAAGCCACGCCCAACTGCTTGAGAAGGTTGGTGTGAAGGATATGGTGACAGGCGTAATCGACGAGCTGCTTGCTTTGGCAGACGCACACGGCTGCAAGTTATCTCCCGACTTCAAACAAAAGACCATTGACGAAATGACGAAGCCCACGAACCCCGAGAGCATCATGTGGCAGGACTACATCGCAAAGCGACCGATGGAAGTTGAGACGTATCTGGGCTCACCGATAAAATTGGCCAAAGAGGCTCACGTCCCTGTTCCTCGCATCGAGTCGCTTTACGCTATTCTGCATAACCTTAATATTGTCAACCGCCAGAAACCGCCAAAGCCTATTGATGTAACAATGGCACCTCCCGGCTCACCCACATCTCAGTCACCTCTCCCGAGGATGTCATCAGCAAATGGTGCCCGACCCATGATGAATGGCAATGGTATGCCACCAAACCGGGGACCGCGCCCACGCAACTCCTCAAATTTGGGCCCAGGACCACCGCCCGGTATGCGTCGGCCCCCCATGAACGGGGGCCCTCCGAACGGCTTCCCTCGTGGCCCGCCTCCTCCGGGATCTAGGGCTGCTTCGAGACGCGGGTCCATGGAGGGAAACGATTTGGAGGAGTTCTCACATCTCATGATGTATGATGATATTCCGGAAGGTGGAGAACCTGGTTACAGCCATGGCCCTGAGGGTTCCGAGTTGGCTATTCGCGAGCGTGAGATGGAGTTGCGTCAGAGAGAGTTAGCACTGAGAGAGAGGGAGATGCGAATGAGATCGAGAGGTCCTCCCCCAAGGCGAGGCCCGCACCCCATGCGCAACAGCGCTCAGGTTTTCGACGAGGAGGATGACGACGACGACTACTTCGACCCCAACTCTGGACCACCGGCCCCGATGATCGACCCCGATAACTTTGACATGATGAGCGTTACGTCACGGAAGAACCGGAAAGCGGCAGCCGCAGCACCGCCCACCCGTGCTCAGTACCACAAGAACGAGATTTACGATGCCGGAGGAGCACCGCCCGCCAGATCATCCCGATTCCGCCCCAATTTTGGACGCAATCGTTCCAGCCAGATTGCTAGTATCCCTGCTGCGAATGAGAACATCCTAGACGACCCCCTCTTTTCCTACTCATCGAATCGATACGGTGCCGTTGACAGAGGTACGATGCAGGCAGGCTCGAGAGCAAACTCGCTGACGGCCTCACGTCTGGACGAGATGCAAATGGGCGGAGGCCCCATGGCCATGGGCATGAACGGAGCCTTTCCGCGACGAGCTAGCCAGTCTCCCGGAAACCCCTACAGTCCGTCGATCCGGGGCGGCAGCGGCCGACCGTCGCCGCCCAATGGATATCACGGCCCTCCGATGAACGGTCGTCCGTCTCCTCCTGACGGTATGCGTCAGCCGGTGCCCCGATACCCTCCCGGCCATGGTAACGCAGTCGCGCCACAGCAGGTTGAGCAACATATCGGGGTGAGCGGTCTTGTTCCTCCACCTAAACAGAAGAACATGAGAAGTCTGACTGGTAGTGCGAGCGCCAGCGCGGGCAGTGGTGAATCACAGAATGACACCGAGCCTTCAGCCCACAGCAGCCAAAGCAGTCTCGGGCCGAGACCGGCTATAGGAGTCCGGTAAACATCACTCACGAGGCTGCTTTGATCGCTCTACGGCATTGACGATGTCACGGCCAGCGATATGGAACGACATCAGCTTGCTTGGCCCGATTGCGATCCGAAACGAACTCGACGACTACGTCTCTATCCTTCTACATACTCATAGACCCAGGCTTGCTATCGCATTCCGTTGGTCTCAAGAGGTCACTCCGCCGGAGTTCCTCACATATCGATGCGCGGCAACACGATGACGACACGAAACGATTAGACAGGAATCGGTCTTTCATTCGCGGCACAACACATAGTTAATTCGACGACTTTTCTCATTTCTCATCAATCGGACGCAAGTCCAGTACATACGGCATTGTGACGATGGGGGCCAATTCCCTTCGACTTCTGGTAATAGCAGCAGCATTGGCGTGGACGACATCGATGTTCTCGTTGACCAAAGGGAAACCAGCATTGGAGGTTGGATAGCAGATGACGTCCCGGCAACCCGATGGCTTCAGACTTGTAACTCGCACCAAGGCCCGGATCAAAGACAAAAAGATGGGATGTGAGATCTGACCATCCTCGAGTCATCTTGGGCGAAAGCGAGAAGTTGGATGTGTATAAAACGAAACGCCCCTTCTCAGGCAATTTCCTTTTCTTTTGTGTCTGTCCTTTACGAAAAATATTTCTTTTTACAGCCAAGGCACAGCCAAGGCTAGGTACGTCGAGGGGATTACAAGTAACGAGCATAGACAGGGGGAGGAGCCGGAGGTGGTTTTTGAACCGGCAATACAAAGATGGGCAATATCATTGCATGGCAGCAAACAACGATTGGGGGACATGCTCAGACTGAAGCCTCTCTTGATAAGGGATCTTGGCTTTCCATAATTTTTAGTTTCCCGATGATGAGAGAAGGGCGATGACGGGCGCAACCCATGGGGATGAGGAGGAAAGGGGTGAGGTGTGTGTATGGATGTAAAAGTTTAGGGGGCGGGCAAGTAGGCAGCCCCTTTAGGGAAGTTCAATTGAACGCAATGGAAGCCAGACAGGTGCGAAACTTGGCATCGTGAAAACAAACGTGATGTCTAGAAAGATTCTCCACCAGGGGTGCGTGCATTATACTTTGGCCCTTGAACATTGTCAGACGAGGTGGATTGAGTATAAGGTAAGCAAAGCAGTAAGCAGTAAGTTGAGGAGATCTACGTCCAGGAGTTCTGTCGCCCCCGGCCGAGGCTTGTGGCGGGCTTGAGGTTCAGGCGCGACTGATGAGACGCTGGCATGTTGGTTGATTCAGAACTAAGACCGTCGTCGCTGACCTGAGGGGAAGGCTGGGAAGGGGCACTGGTAGGAACAGAACGCGCCAGCCGAAAGCCACCATCTGGCACCGCGTCCCCGAAGCCGAGGGGGGGGGAGGAGAAGGAGACCAAAGGAGCGTGGAAAGAAAGAGTGCGTTGCTGACACGTGACGCGTGCCTCTGTGGTGGAGGGTTGCACGCGACATGATCTGATGGTATGATATGATACACGTCAGGTAGTTTTACCTCGTAATAGGTATGATGTGATTGTTTCCACGGCGGGCAGGAGGTCCCCCCTCCCTCACCGCTCACCGAGGGAGCGACGCTTGAATGTTCGGTATGGAGGGGTTCTTTCCCGGGCACCTCAAAGGGGGCGTTTTTTCTCCCCCTCGAGGGGATGTGCCGTGCCGAAGATCCGGGACATGGAAAAAAAAAGTCAAAAGTTCTGCCCTGGCGAAGAGATGCATGGAAGCGAACAGCCACCCCGAGACTTTTTTTTGTCCTCCCGTGTTTGCCCTTGCAGGTGCACTTCAATGAGCGTGAGGTCTCCAATTCGTGGGTGTTGATTCAAGATTCCATTGTCTGTCTCCTGCTTTATCTTATCGCGCTGCTGCTGGGGACGCTGTGATGGGAAAAGCCAGCGCGCTGGAGCACGGACCATATTCTCATCTGGCAGCTGGCATTTGGCACCTGCCTGCAAGAAACTCAATGACGAAAAGACCCGCGAATCAGAAGTCGAGGTTTTTGTTTACTTTCTGCCTACTTGGAGGGTCCTGCTTTCCGACCCCACCTCCGTCGTCCGACGACATCCCGTCCCCCAAGCAAAATCAAGCATTTGGGACGTGTGTATGTTTGAACTATGAAGGAGGCATGAATTAACGGCCGTCTGTTAAGATATCCTTCCCCGCCACCCATCACCGCCACAGCCAACTTCCCGCCGCGAGACAAGACAAGTGTTTGGACGAAAGAGAGCATAAGGGAGAAATAAGCAGTGGGGTTGCATGAAATCGTCTGAAGAGGAGTTGATTACTACTATCGCTCCTTTGTTTTTTTTTTCTTGGCGGCTACCTTATTCGTTAAGGTACCTGCCTGACGGGGTTTCTGGGTTGGGGTTGAGGCTCTGCTGGTTGTTTGTTTCGGATTTGACGACGCGTGGTGCAAAAGGTGAGTGGTATTTTGCAATTGATATTCGTGATGAGGAAGTCTGCATGAGAGAGGCGATCGCGGAGTTTGAGTTTGAGTTCTTTCCCTTCACCTTTTCCCGTGGCAATGAGAATGGGCGGGAACGGGGGTCTCGGTTTGGTGAGGAGGGCAGTTCAAGGACTGTTGGCTGACCCCATGTTTTCTAGGACGAGCAGCCAAAACACAAGCCGAAAGAAAGATGGCGTCACGGAATATCAGCATGGGTCAGACGGCGAGGCCGTCCATGGCGTCTAGCTCCGGCAACGCGATGAAGACGCGGCAGCTGGTGAGTTCTCCTGCCTTATGGGGCTTGTTTCTATCTCTGTGAGATGCGATGGCGTGAAGGGCAGAGGAAGAGGGGCTGGCGAGAGGCGAAGAGATGCTCGGCCGAGAGGACATTGGTCTCGGGATGGAATTTCCTCGTGCTGACTGGACTCGATATCGCAGACACATCTTCATTCGCAGCTGGCGCAGCTGTCTGCTAATCTTTCCGATACGGAGAACCTGGTTCGTATGACGAGCGTGCAGGCTGAGAGTATGCGGGGTTTGGGGGCGTGGCATGGCGGCATGTGAGTTGTTCTCTTCCCTCCGCCTTCGTCACATATGTTTTCCGGTTTCACTGCTTCTGTCTGACCGTCGCAGTATTACCGCACGTATATGATGCCAGGACAGGCATCGCGCATGGCTCGGATTGAGTTCTGGATGCTTTTGGAGGCGATGAGTTTCGTTTTGCTGACGGAGGGTTGAAAATAGGTTCATGGCTGCGAGTAAGGTCCTTGGGGAAGAGGCTATCAATCGCGATGCGGCGGCACAGGCGAGGGGCGGTCAGAGATGAGAGAGAGTAACTTTCGTATTAGGAAGAGAAACATGGAGCAAAGATGCGAGAGTGCGACTGAATGCTGCGGGTCGCGAGAGGCTCTTCTATGCGTTGTAGCAAGAAGAGGGAAGCGTCATTTAGCTGGTTTCCATAACGATCAATGAAACTTCTATCAAGTCACAGTGTAGTTTCCGTACCACGTAGGGAGGTGTTGGAGATTCGCTGAGATCCTATGGTGATGCGACGGTGCTGGAGGTGAAAGTATTCAACTCGCCTTGCATGGCACCGCGTCGACATGGGCAGTCACCTTGCATATTGGTGTTATCTAGTTCCTCAAACGCGTCCATCTGTGGCATGCATGTCATTCCTCCTCCTCCCCTTATGCTCAGCAACTGCGGAGCATAGACTGCCGCCTCGGCGTGCTCCGGTTTCCAATGCTTGCCGGTACTCGTCGCCACGTTACTGGACTCTTGGGAGAGAACGAGAAGACGCCGATATGGCTTTCATTGAACACGACATTGGGTCAATGCTGGTGAGCTTTGATATGAATGCAGAGCTTCAGACCTTGTCGCCTGAGAAGAGTTGCTTATCAGGTCACTTGGGACGTCCATGGCCCTCAACACAAAGATCGACGGCGCAAGAAAGTATCCCCTTTCCCCAATGCATGAGGGACGATGACGCCAGAAAGTCATCGAGACTCGCTAATATAGCCGGGTTATTATCATCGGAGAGAGTATGTCCGCCAGCCATGAGTAACCCCGGTATCTCGGCATAAGTCGAAACCTCACATTACAACAAGAAGACTAGGATGATGTGTTTGGATATAGCTATGAGCAAGATCCTCCTGGTGCCTCTCAGTCTTTCTATATGTACCTGCAGCTGTCGACTCAAGGTCGCAGTTCCGCCGCCAGCCACCTGCATGGTACGGACTTTGGGACAACCTCAAACGCATATAAGACAGGCATACTGCGGTCTGACTGAGAGGATACAAGGGGCCGAGTAAGCCTGCCTTGGATATGGTCACGGTGATAGTCATAAAGGTGGACACCCTGTTGCTTCGCGGCAGAGTGGCAGCTTTTTGTTGAGACCCTGGGTCTGACGTTGACGTGAAAGAAATCGCGGGATGTCATACCAATACGACAATGGTTGTAGACTCACTTTGGTATTCCACGTGTGTCCGAGCCTTTATATACTGCCCGAAGTGCCGCGTAGTGCCACGAAGGGTGTAGAGCGGAGCGGCAAGCAAGCTATGGAATAGTCAGAGCTGGCCTTGGCTACCACCGGTGTCGAGAACATGCCTCTAGACAGAATCAATCAGTATTTCGTTTCTCTGACACTTGCATGCTCGTGGACCATGTTTGGGCATATTTGGATTCTTGATCCTCTAACAATTCGTTTGGTTGCTTTTATAAGAATGAGTCGCTACGCGACAACTTGTCACTTACCCCGATACTGCGATCTTACGCACCAAGTGGCCTCGGCTGCATGAGCTGTTCAAGTACGCCATTGACGAAGACCGCTAGGGCTACGTGACTGGTTGATCCGACGGCGGTCTCGCGCAACTGGTCGATTATTGGGCTTCTCCTTTCTGTGTATAATCCAGCTTTTTTCTCTAGGATCGTGGAGTATAGGACTCAGGGGCACCTTGTATGGATGATGCTGCTGAGGCAATCACCTTCTCTTCCAACAGACTGTCGAGAGATCCAATGTTGCAACAAGGCGAGAACGCATCCATATATCTAGGAATCCTTTCCGGCGCCACGGAAGGACCAGCCTGCTAAGCCAGCCCACTTGGCACCTGAGTGACTTCTTGGGCGGGCGCACTCCTCTATCCATTTTCACGCCGTCCCACGGTCCGTCATCTCGGGGTCATAAGCGATGTTGGTGAAGATCTCCTGCTGCATAATGGCACTCCCAGAGAGTTTCAATGCTCCTCTAAGTCTTTTCTTTGAATGCTGCTTTCTTTCATTGATTGTGTTCGTCGTAGCTCAAAGCTGATTCCCTTGGCACTGGCGCCAGTCCTGATGGCACCAGGAGCCCAGGCGTGGAAGTGCAAAGCCTATAGTAGAAACGGGTAGGATCCAGGGCGACCCGTGGCTTTAAAAGGCATGGCAGATCTATAACAGGTTCAAAACACTAGGGACCTTTCAAGGAGAACGCCCAGGACTGTCGTCGCTTGTGCCTTCGCTTGTGCCTTCGACTGTTCGGTTTGAGCTCGCCCTGACGTAGTTTTGATATCAGCGCAGGCAGTCAAATAAGTCTCACTAGGGCCGGTGTGAAGGGGGACAATGCGACTTAGCTCCGAGTATCGTCCTGGGCATATTCCGAAAAGACTACCTTGCGGGCTGTGATAGAGGAAGACGAGTACTACCTTACTAAAAAGAATGTTTCTGAGCATCGTCGCTGCCTCATAACCAGGGCTTACAAGGACTTTGGCAGCCGTGGGAATCCCGCTGCCCACACACACACACACACACACACACAAGATGGGCTATAAACGCGGTTCATCGAGTGACCTCTCATTTCAGCCAGCCGGGCGATGCGTCCTTCTTATCCACTCGGCCAATTAGGTAGATGAAACCACCAGCCTCCATGTTCGTCATCTTTGATTTCGTTATCTAAGGGCGATAGTTTGCTGTCTCCTACCATTTAACCCAGCCAAAGATCACGATCTCAAGGCTCCCATGAGCCTTGAGACACGCATTGGCCATATTCCGCCGACTTTAGCCCAGGGAATCAAGGATCTTCTCATCAGCTACAACGACTGGATGGTTTCGAAGTGCCACCCATGCGACTGGACTTGCGAATAAACGTCATTGAGGGGCATTACTCGAGCGAGCGTGCCTCTACCAGACTAGAAATATACCATTGAGTTTTTGAAGTGAGGTGTCTATTTTGACCAAAAACATGCTCCTGAGTATAAATCATTCCTTTCATAGCTTACATGACAAACTTAGCAAACCCACGGTTGTACGGTAGGCCAGAAGATAAAGTAAATCAACGCCAAAACCAGTCCGACAGACAAGACAGCAACTTCTTCGGATCCGAAGTGGAATCCATACCGTACGTTATCCAGCTTCTTGTTCCCTGGTGACAGGCTCTGGGGCTTCAAAATACCGTCGAAGCCCCGGGCCCAGGGTACTTCCAATCCCCGATCATCGAGAATCTGCTCAGCCGTGATCTTGGCGCCAGCCATGACAATAGGCACGCCGGTACCAGGGTGAGTGCTTGCGCCGACGAAGTATGCGTTTTCCAAACCCTCTGCGCGCGTACGGGGGCGGAAAGCAAGAACGTTGAAGATGCCATGCGTCAAACCCAAGATAGCACCCTTGTCGAGGTTGAACTTCTCTTCCCACGTCAAGGGCGTGTTGACAATCTCATGTGTAATGGAATCAGTCAGGGGCGCGCAGCCCGTCCTTGCGCTCACAATCTCCACGACGGCGGCGCGGGCGCGAGCGACGATGTCGTCCCAGTGCTTCGGGTCGGACGTCAGCCCCGGCCCGTCGCCCTTTGACTCCTGGAGATGGCCGACGGGCACGAGGACGATGACAGTGTCCTTTCCCTCGGGCGCCGCGGAAGGGTCGATCCTGCTAGGCACGTTGACGTAGAAGCTGGGCTGGGTGGGGAGGGAGTGGCGCTTGAAGATGGCGTCAAAGGACTCCTGGTACTCCTCGGCGAGGAAGATGTTGTGGACGGACAGCTCGGGGATCTTGCGGTCCATGCACCAGTAAAATGATATGGAGCTGCAGCTGGCCTCCCTCTTGCGGAGAGACTTTGTGTAGTCGGTGATGGTCGGGGTCTTGGGGAGGAGGTTGCCGTAGGCGTAGACGAGGTCGGCGTTGATGATGACGACGTCTGCCGTAAGGGACTCGCCGGACTCGAGCTCCACGCCCGTCGCCTTCTGGCCGTCTGTCAGGACGCGGGATACGGGCGTGTTGAGGCGGTAGTCGACGCCCAGCCGCTCGCCGATGCGCACCAGCGCCGCCACGACCTGGTGGAAGCCGCCGCGGGGGTACCAGATGCCCTCGGCGAACTCGGTGTACTGGAGCAGAGAGTACGTCGCGGGCGCGTCGAAGGGCGACATGCCCATGTACATGACGGCGAAGGTAAACACCCTCCGCAGCCTCTCGGTCCAGAAATACCTGCTCGCGCGGCTCCAGATGCTCTCCAGCGGGTGCAGGTTCACGACGTGCCTGACAAACCCGGGCCTCGCGAGATCCAGAAACTTGCCGAAATTCCGGTGCAGCACGTCCTTGACAGAGATCTCGTAGTGCGTGTGGGCCTCGCGGAGCCACTTGAGATACCGCTCGAAGCCGTCTTTGCCCTCCCAGCGCTCGATCTGCGTCTTCATGGCGGCGAGGTCGGACGAGTGCTTGAAAAGCTCGCCGTCGTGGAACCAAATGTTGTAGTTCGTCTCGCAGCGCAGCAGGTCGACGCCGGCGTCGGCCATGGTGGTGTCCAGGTCCCGGAAGGTCTCGTGGAAAAGCTGGGGGAGGAGGAAGAGGGACGGACCTTGGTCGAAGCGGTGGCCTTCGTGGTGCATGAGGGAGCAGCGGCCGCCGGTGAAGGAGTTCTTTTCGAGGACGGTGACGGAGAAGCCTGCCTTTGCGAGGCGGGCGGCGAGGGCTACGCCGCCGGCGCCTGCGCCGACGATGATTGCCTTCTTGGGCTTTTCCCCGAGTTGAGGCATTGCTATATTATGTGATGGGTTCTCTACTAGATATGTGAGATGAGATAGATGGCTGCACTGGATGTAAGGCGATAAGTAATGCTTGTGAGATTGTCGTGAGGTTGTATAGCTGGGATTATCAAGTGCCCCCAGGAGATTATCACCAGCTCACAAGACAATGAGAGAGCGTGAACAGCAAATGGAAGATTGACGCAAGGGGAGTTGATTAACATTCATACTAGACTAATTATCCTACCATTCCAGTAAGCATGTGAAGAGAGACGGCGGCTGCCAATTGTCCCTCGCATGCCATGGGATCCACAAAAGCAACGGAGCGGCAGGTGCAGGGGGTGGGAATGAAATCGCACGAGGATGAGCTCCGCACCGGCCGGTTCGGGGTTGAGAATTGAGAGAGTGATGACACCTCGACTTCGGAGGAAGCTCCTGGCTTACGAACGTTGAAGAGACAGGACGGGCGGGATGGCGCACAAACTTCACCCCAATCTTTGTGTTCCTTGCTGAGGTGAGCTGCCACTGGCTTGGGATAGCATAAGGCGTGCGAAAGCAAGGGGCGTGCCGCATGAGAGAGCTCATGCATAAACAGGGTGACAGGCTGATACGGTGCTTTAGCTACAGGTACAACCAAACAAAACGGTTGTTGAGACATTTGATATCGTATTCGCAGATCGCGATCGTTGTTATCCCGCTTCATCGGCTACTGCTTTAGATGGAGCAGAGTATAGAGCCAAGCTCGCGGACTCGGACATTTGTAGCATTTTAGTCTTCCAACTTGCCATTTGCCGTGAAGTGTATAAGTCGAAGTGGGTATTTTTCATCAATTAGACGTTGGTGATGAATCACCTTGGATTTCATTCATCTGTCCGGCCCCCAAACAATTCATGTGTTCCAAAATTCAGCCTCCAACAGGCTCTGTGAAATTGTTCTCGTCTGAAAGGCAAAACGGCACCTAGCATCCATCCCGCCTTGTCTTACTCACCCATTCTCAGCACGTTTGACACATGGCCGCATCTCTCTCTACGGATACATCTCTCAGGCAGTATTGTCAGGAAAGCATTTAGTGTCTCCTCTCCCACCTGGCTAAAAAACCACTAGATCCGCGCCCGCTTACTATCCGTCCATTAACCCCTGGTCCGATCAGAACCTGAAAGTGGGCTGGTTGTATGCAAAATCCCATGTTGGGACGCGCATATGGTCGTCATAGACTTTCCAAATTCCCTTCGGACTCGGCCAACCAACCACGCCGGCCCGGACCAGCTACCTTGAAAGTTGGAGCTTCCATTCCGAATTAATTACTGTTAGAGTCAGACTGTGTAGCTTACACTAAGACCAAGACGCCAAAGGGAGTTGGAGCTGCACGTTGGATCCTCAACAATCTCATCCCAATTCAAGCTCCATCCCTAGCTCCTCCCCCACCTGGTTCAGCGCATTGTCTTACCGGATCTGGAAAGAAGCTCAGTCTACAGGATCCTCGCAAGCGCCACCACGTCCATCTTGCACCACATTGCACCACAGTCCGGCCGCACTCTTAGCATCTTCGTTGCCTTCGTCTGGAATCTCTGAACTTCAGAAAAGTCCGAGCCCCGAGCAAGAAAACAGCGCCTGGAAACACCAGCCGGAGCAACGTGCCCGCAAGACAACGACTAACCCGGATTTCTATCCCACTCCACTCGGGACAATTCACCATTCCTCCCACCGGGAACTAGCCGACCGGCTTCCGTTATTCTCTTGGGGTTACGGATACAAAGTCCAGCCAGCAACGGTGAATAGTCCGTCTTCAACAGAACAACAAAAAGGGACGCGATAAAGTAAACAGCAGGGCAGGTTCGGGTGCAAGTTGTAACGCTGCAACGCCGACGTGGGGTCTCACCTCACCTTCTCTTCACCTTACTTGCCTACCACGCTTACCTACCTACTTATTTGACGCTAACCTCTCCGTCATAATTGCGCTGACACCCGCCCGATCTAATCCCACCTCACCTTTCGTTTCTCTCACACGCCCCAAGGTGCCGTCTTTCTTTTGTGCAACCTAGCCGCAGGAACAGCTTGCAATCTGGCCTGCTTCGGAGTCGGACGGACTCTAGACAGGGCGAGCGCCGCTGGCAGGAGCCGCCCCAAGACAAGCCTCAATTCTTATCAACCCTCACCGTCGCCGAGCCCGTGTCCTTATTTTTTCGATACCCTATGAGAATCTGCTCATTCTCGTGATTCTTTCACGGCTTCCAGAAACTGCAGCCCTCTCAAGATGGGTTACGACTATGCGCTGGTGTAAGTGATCCTACTATTGAGCTCTTCTTCAGCAACACTTTGCTCATCCCTTGCTAGGCACGTCAAGTACACCATCCCTTTGGCGGGATTACTCACTTTCATCTCATACCCTCTGTTTACGCGCCTCGATGTCGTGAGGACTCTCTTCATCGTCACAATCGCTTTTACCGCCACGATTCCCTGGGATTCGTACCTGATCAGAACCGGCATCTGGACATATCCCCCAAACGCAGTGTTGGGACCGACCCTCTATGACATCCCAATCGAGGAGCTATTCTTCTTCGTCATACAAACCTACATCACCGCTCAGCTCTACATTATCCTCAACAAGCCTGTGCTTCATGCTCAGTACCTGAACTCCCCCGCCACGCTCCCGCAATGGATAAAAACGGCGAAGCCTCTCGGCCAGCTAGCCCTCTTCAGCAGCGTCGTCTTGGGCGCATGGCTGATCGCCAAGGAGGGTGAAGGCACCTACCTGGGCCTGATTTTGGTTTGGGCGTGCTCCTTTGCGCTTCTCACCTGGACTATCACGGCGCAATTCATTTTGGCTCTGCCATTGGCTTGCACCGCTCTACCCATCCTACTGCCCACCATCTATCTATGGGTCGTCGATGAGATGGCCTTGGGCCGCGGCACCTGGGCCATTGAGAGTGGCACAAAGCTTGAACTAAAGCTTTTCGGCAGCCTCGAAATCGAAGAAGCGACCTTCTTCCTTGTCACCAACATGCTCATTGTCTTTGGCGTGGCAGCCTTTGACAAGGCCGTCGCGGTCTGCGATGCATTCCCAGACAAGTTCGACAAGCCAGCCGACGCCCTATCCATGTCATTGCTTCGAGCTCGTGTTTTCCCCTCATCTCAGTACGACATGGAGCGCATCTTGGGCATCCGCCAGGCGGTCACCAGACTGGCCAGAAAGAGTCGTAGCTTCCATCTCGCCAGCTCCGTCTTCCCAGGCCGCCTACGGATCGACCTGACGCTGCTGTAAGTGGAGTTCCAGCGCCCCAAACCTAAATTTATCCTATATCGCTGACCGACTGCTCCTCTCCGCAGCTACTCCTACTGCCGTCTAGCCGACGATCTTGTCGACGATGCCGAGACCCCTGACGAGGCCGCATCCTGGATCTCCAAACTCGACCGCCATCTAAGCCTGCTCTACAAGGACCCCGACGCGACTTCGGCACCGCTCGCCGCAAAGTACGCTGCCGAAAACTTTCCAGAATCAGCTCTCTCGGCTCTGGACCTCCTCCCCTCATCGCTCATACCCCGCGAACCCCTCGCCGAGCTCCTCAAGGGGTTCGAGATGGATCTCTCCTTCAGCAAAGACACCTTCCCGATCACGGATCCCGAGGATCTCGAGCTCTACGCTGCCCGCGTTGCCAGCACCGTCGGACAGGCGTGTCTCGAGCTGGTCTTCCGTCACTGCCAGCACAATCTGCCCGATTACATGCAAGCCTACCTCCGCAACACAGCGCGCCAGATGGGCCTTGCGCTGCAATTCGTCAACATTGCGCGCGACATTGCAGTAGATGCCAAGATTGGCCGCGTCTATTTACCCACATCCTGGCTCAAGGAGGAGGGCCTGACGCCCAAGGATGTTCTCGCGAACCCCAACAGCGAAGGCGCCGGCAATGTGCGCCGTCGCATCCTCGCAAAGGCCTTTGACCACTACGGGGAGGCGAGGGACTCCATGAAGTGGATTCCCTCGGAAGCGCGCGGCCCCATGGTCGTCGCCGTGGAGAGCTATATGGAAATTGGCCGGGTTCTCATGCGCAACGGCGGCGCTGCAGCGGACGGGAGTGGGCGAGCTACGGTACCCAAGTCGCGTCGCATCTGGGTTGCTTGGAGCACACTCATGACCGCTTAGATTTGATTCCGCACCCAGAACTGGACTTTGGGGGGTTTGCATTCGCGTCTTAGATCTGTTTGGCCTTTTGTTTGGTTTCTCCTCTCCTTCTCCTCTTTCCCTCTACCCACTCAGGCCCTTTTGATGGCGTTGATAAAGGCATTACGAATAGACAGCATGGCGTCCATAGGAGTGGTAGCAGTATGACATAGACGTGACCCAGGATGCAAAAGGCGCGTTTCCACGCCGCTTTCTTCGATACTAGGTCCACGATGAGATGCAATTGTTTCGTGTTCCCCACAGAGATCGATCCGTCCGATGGAAGCGTCGTAGCAGTGACATCATGTCAAGCTCCGTGGTCCATCCAGATTGCTCGAGCCTCCAGGGAGCTATGTAAGCGAGGATCCGTGCGTGGCCTGTAGTGGGGACGTCTGGCCCAAGCTCCTTCACCGAAATTCGGCTGGCTCACCGAGTCGCTGTGAAGACTTACCGAGAAACCAGGGACCCAAACGAAGATAGCTAGGTCTCCACCAAAAATAGAGCCTCCATCGACAACTGCTCAAATCGCCAAGTTTCCCTCTTCACCCACCTCGACCCATCCAGGGGGACAAGAGCCAGCACCTTTCCAACCCAATTGAGCCGGTCGCTCGAAGAGCTCACTTCCACTACATCAAATCACATGCGCCTTTTCGTAGAACTTCGACAGATAAGCCTCTCAAAATGATACCCAGAGCGCCCGCCCGCCGTCTCCTCCGGGACATCGTCCCCGCGCACCGCATCGCGCCGCGACCCTTCCTCCGACCCTTCACATCCACGCCCTCCTCCCGCCTCCAAGCCCAGCGCCCGCCGCCGCCGCCTCCCATCGCGCAATCCCCTCTCCAAACCCAACAACAGCAAGCCGCCGCCAACGCCGCCCTCTCGAACCTATCCCACCTCACCCCGGCACAAATCACAGCCCTCCTCTCGACGACACCACCGTCAACACTACCGGGAGGAGTAGGAGGCATTCCCGGCGGCCCTCCTGGCTCACCTGCCGTCGGAGCAGTCCCCTCCGCCGCCGGCCCTTCCCGCCGCTCAATCCTCCTCCGCCGTGCCCTCTGGGCCCTCTTCTTCTTCGCCCTAGGCTACAAGCTCACCGACGACCAAATCGCAACCATCCGCTTCACGGCCCCCTTCCTCTACCCACCCGTCGAGGCAGACGAGCACCAGATCCCCCTCTTCCGCGCCCACGCCACCTTTCAAGCCATCGAAGACTACCCCATCCTCCAGTCCCTCGTCCCCCGCATGCCGCCCAACACCGACCCCGGCGCCGCGGGGAACCCGATCCCCCAGCTCCCGACCTCAGACTGGGAAAACTGGGAACCCTACCGCGACTTCTCCCCCGAGCGAACGGCGCACCACCTCTGCGCTGGCCCGGCACTGAATAACCCCAATGGCCTGGGTCTGGTCAACATTGTGTTTCGGCACAAGTACACGGGCGAACTCATCCTCGCCATCATGTTCGGACAGGGGACGTCCGGGTGGCCGTCCGTCGTGCACGGCGGGATGCTGTCTACCATCATGGACGAGGCCATGGGTCGGCTCGCGGCGCTCAATTTCACGGCCAACACGGCCGTCACGGCCAAGCTGGCAATGGACTTCAAGGTGCCTGTGACGCCCGGGATGCTGTATATCGTTCGCGTGGGTAAGGCGCTGCCGGAGTGGCAGAAGGAGAGGCCCGACGAGGAGGATAAGACGGATCGAAAGTTGTGGATTATTGGGCGGATGGAGGATCCGGATGGTGCTACTGTCGTTGAGGCCAAGGGGCTTTTTGTGGTGCCCAAGGGGATTGAGGTGCAGCCTCTTGGTGGGAGGTTCTAAGCTTGGGGGGGAGGGAAGGTTTTGTCAAATGTAGAGTTTGCTGTTTGAAGAGGAGGAGGATATGAAAAGGGGGTAAAAGGATGTCAACGTGCATTCAGTGGCGTTGCAAAAGGGATACATGCCATCTCAGTTGCCTCTGGCCTTCAAGCTGAGGCGAGTCAAAGGGGGGAGCCGGAAGTTACTGAAAAGTAATATGTGTCGATAGATGTGGAACTCAAGAAAAGAAGCAAAATAGACAAAACTCGTGATACCTCAAAATCAGTTCAACATACCAGACCGATCATTCCAACGTCCTCTATCACCTACCACCTGACACTTTCACAAAGATTAACGTCGCGAGGCTTTCATTCGCCTACTGAGTGTCCCGTTCGCTGAGGACATCACGTAGGTACTTGATGTATGGCCGAATACTTTTAGCCCTGATCTTCCAGGGAATTAGTCGAGTTGACCTCAACTAGACAAAGCCGCGTCAACTTCCGTATTGTGATCAAACGTAGTAATACTTGGCCAGGTATGAATCTTGAAATCCAACAAGCCTTAATCACCTTACAAGTAGTGGTGCACGTAGTGTGTTTGTCAATTAGGTGATAAACCCAACCCGCGAGATTGCACTGGAACGTAGTGGTTCAACATGCTAGTTTATACATAAATAAGAAAGCGCTATGCACGATTCGTGCGTGCGTAATATACACTACCTGTAGAGGTCCGCCATTGCGAGTGTTGGTAAGGCTTTCCACTGCGCAATCAAGTTGCTTCACACTCTACTACAACACTCTGATCTCATCCGTCATTGAAGAATGCCATAAAGTTCTCTGGAAACACCGCTACCAAGACGTATTTCACCCCGCACCGCGCTATACCATAGCATGACCCATTTCTGCATTGTTCATGCTCTACACCCAGCGTGTATCAACGTGATCAGTTAATATTCCATGACCGTAACACACCTGCCAGAGATACTAGTATGTTGGTGGATATGAGGTCAGTGTCGGTTTCTAGGCAATGGTGAGCGGCGACGGGCAATGATGGGCAGCGATCGGCAGCGATGAGGGTCAAGTTGCCAATACCGCTCCCCATCTCTGCCGCGAACCCGCCTCCTGCACCTACAGAGGACCTACGACTGTTGTAAAGACGCCGCTGTTGTCCACTGTGGCCGCGGCTGATTGTTTGCCAAGGGGTACATGTTGGCAATGTGGTAGGTGTTGAAGCCTCCTCCCCTGCTACCTCCAAACGATCCACGACCCCCTCGGTAGCCTCCTCCACTTCCGCCGCTGCTGCCATCCCCTCCACCTCGACCACCCCGTCCGCCACGATAACCACCGCGGGAATCGCCACGGAACCCGCCGTTTCCTCTGTTGGTACGGTATCCCTGGGGGCCATTGGGTGGCGACCTAGATGAAGAGTGGCCTGTCGAACCTTGGTCTGAAGCACCATTCGAGTGACCATAGCCTCCGTTGGAGCTTCCTGAACCTGGTGGAGGTCCTCGTGATGGCCCACCGTTGGACCCGTTACTCTGATGGGAATTGCCTCGACCCCTTCGGCGATTGTTATACTGCCTCCTGCCAGTCTTTGGTTTGCCTTCCACCGAGAAATCAATCTTCTTAATGGGGTCTGTGACCATGACATTCTTAATCAAACCGAGACGTTCGAGCTCATCTGCCGGTGTAGTCCAGAGTTGGAACACATTCTCCAGCTTTCCAACCTTTCGAGTTTCAACAACCCAAGCCTTGACGTACTCTCCGTCTTTGTCATAGTCGAAAGCTTGCTTAACAGGATTGAAGATCCTGTTGTCACCACGAGGGTCATTGCCGACGCCAGCAACATACTGCCAGTTGGACCAGTTCGAGCTAACGTCGTAGTCGACAAGAAGATACTCGTACCATTCGGCTCCGTAACGCCAGTCGATACCGAGATGCTTGGTTAAGAAGGAAGCCACGTTTTGACGAGCTCTGTTGGATGTGTAGCCAGTGTGGTACAGCTCGCGTTGCGAAGCATCAATCAACCCCATGCCGGTGTTTCCCTCAAGGAACCTGTTCAGGGTCTTTTGGATCTCGTCTGGCGAAGCACCGAGGTTGTCGTCCGAAACCACGTGCTTAGGGTCCGCAGACTTCCACTTTGGTGTCTTGTCGGCCTTGAAGCCAGTGACGCGGAAAAGCTGTCCTCTAAACTTCTTCGTGCAAAGACGCATGTAGTCACGCCAAAGAAGTTCGAATCGCACAGCCTTGGTTCCGTCATTTTCCCCCTTCCCGTAACCGGGCGTGTCTTTGAACTTGGCATCCTGTCCGTCTTCAAACTTGACCAGAGCCTCATGGATCTGGCGTCCCGTCAAGCATCCCAATGATAGGTAAGCTGAAAGTTTGGTGCTGAAGTCGACTCCGAGCAGGCCGTTACGAGTGTCCTTGTAGCTAGACATGGCGCCTGACTTGACAAGGTGATCCAAACGCTCAATTCCGACATCCTCGCCACCGCTGAACGGATGAACTGAAGTCGCCTTCTCTGGAAACTTTGGCTCTTGATCGAAGGGACACTTCAAGGGCGTAAGAAGACCAGACTCCAGGGCATCGTAGGTGGATGGGATCTGGAACGGTGCTTGCTGAGGAGGGATAGCGGAGTGCTCAGGGAAAGGTGGAAGGGAACCCTTTGCAGGGCGAGCCAGCGTGGGTCTCGGTTTCTCGCGGAGCGGCTCTTGGGTCTTTCTGAAGGCTGTGAAAACGTCTGCGAGGTCGCTGGGGGTTTTGAAGCCGAGGTCGCGGCTGTTGGAGAGAGAATCGTTAGGATCGTAATTTCTTGTCAAGCGGGATACACTTACTCGTCAATAAAGTATTTCTCGTCCAGCCAGGTTTTGAATTCAACACCGTGCTTCTCGCAGGCTTTGGCCACTGCCTTCTCATCCTTCTTCTCTTCGATAGCTTCTTCCTCGACCATCCAGACCGCTCCAACCTTTTGGCGTTTGTCTGCGAATCCTTGAAGAAGGTCGCCAACGACATCACCGAACCTGCCTGCGCGTAAAGCCAGGCCACTTCCTACGCCTTCGAGGGATTCCTTGACATTCCAAACAGACTGAGCAATGAACTTTGTTCGATGAGGTCCACACCGCCAGAACTTGCCAATCTCGCTGCGAGCTTCTGGGTAAGGGGACTTGCTTCCTTCGCGTAAGAGGCCGGAAATCTCAATCTGGTGTGCTGGGAATACGTAGACAGGGAGAACATGTGTGAATCCGTGGTCAGACGCGGTTACGAGATGGTGAAGAATAGGATTATCCGCAATGCGAAGATCGTGCCGGAGCAGGTAAATGAGGATATTGGACGCCGCCATCGTAGATAGATGCTCGTCGGGTATTGCTTTCTAGTAAAAGCCGGGATAGGAAAGTCGAGTTCTTTCGTTGCAGTGTCAGATAGACACTGGTTTTGTTTTTGTAAGTTGATGGGGTGTTCGTTCGTGTTGAGACCACGGTTCGTTGGCAAGATAGAGATCAGGAGACAGTGCCACAGATGGAAGTTCTTGAGAGGGAGGGAGTGGGTTAAGACAAGTTTGCGTTGTTAGGAGTCTGAACCAAAGTCATGGCGTAAGAGAAGCCGTTAGATCTGCTTTAGCTCCCGACCAGCTGGGAAAGAGACTAGTCTTGGAGTCGCCACAGAAAGTGCAAAGATGATTTGCGAGCGAGTTGCAAAGAGGTAGTAGGTAGAAGGGGGAGGTCGACTGGAAGGGAAGGGTAGGCGAGGAGCGGGAGACAGGGTTCCCCTTAGGGCAAGGAACAAGCTAGGAGAAACCTTGGAGTCTGGGTCTCTCGAGAGAAGGGGGGGGGGGGCCTGGGAGTGGAAGGGAAGATGAGGTTAGGTCGGGGCCGAAGAGAGAATGACGCAGCAGCCGCTAGTCCAGGGGTCCTGCCGCGATGCGATGGTAGGGTGGTCGGATGATGAGGCTGCAAGAGAGCTACAGCATCGACTTTTAGGTTAGACGATCGGGAGTGAAATGGGAAAGTAAAGTAAGAGTATGGAGTGGCCAGAAAGAGAGAAGGGGGAAGGACGATCTGTCTCTTTGTAATAACAAAGGAGGAACAGGAACGGAGCCGCCTCTGGTTCGGGTAAGAAGGGCAGAGTTTTTTGTCCAGTTGAGCAACAAAATCCCGGGGCGTTTTACTTGGGAGTTCAAGCTGGCCGGAGCACTGCAGAGAGTCGTTTACGCAGTTCTTGATGAACACTGGGACACAATGCAGGGTCGAGCCACCGTCCCAACTGAGCTGAACCCGGAAGGTTCACGACGCAAGCTCGCTAAAGGGGTGGAGTACTATGCAGTGAGATAGGCACCGCGTGCTAGAAGGAAGAAAGTTGATGATAGACTTGACCGTAGGATAGTTACTGTTATCCCGAGATTTGATCCAGCGAGATAGATGAAGTAATATCGAACAGACTGAAGGACGACAGGTTGTACGCAGTAAGGTACGTAAAGAAGACATGGATGGAATGGACGTCGTCGGAAAAAGAGAATGGTAAAAGGTCCAATCAGTTTGCACGGACAAACCGCCGATGGCTTAGAGTAGTCATGACGCCTCCTCTCAATGTTCTCCTCCTCGACTGGCGAGCAGACAGACTAAGTCACATTGGACCCTGAAATTTCATGATCCCTCCGAGTCTGGGCCCCCCCGGCCACCCCCCTTCCCAGTCTGTTCGGGTGGCCGCCAGATTTGGATTTGCCATGCATATCCAAGAGACAGGAGAGCCTCGACAGGAATTGGTACATTTGTCTGCGAACTGGAAGGGTGTTCTTGCCTGTCGGCCGATTCTGAATGAGGCAAGGAGGACGGCCTTGGTGGTTGCCGGGGTCAACTCCGCGACTCCCCGACCATAGACAGAAGTGATAAGATACCTAGAATCTGACAGTTCACACATATTGCGTAAGGAGGGGAGGCAATTTCCATGGTTGAAAAGGCCGAGACGTGGCACGGGGAATGCGCTGGTGCCGGCACATAGCAAGGAGCGAGGAGAAAGGGCCGCAGGATTGCATGGCGATGGTGAGGACATGGGAAAGATGGATAGCAGTGCACCGAGATCGAGAGGTACTTCTGATGCAGAGATAAAGTCCGGGGTTCCAGAGATCGAGTCCACCCGGACGGATCCATGGGACTAGTTTTAGTGGAGACCACCTCTACGTACCGTACCGTGTCGGTACGTATATGCTGCCCTACCAGGGGACCACACAACCCTCAGGCCACCGACAAGCACAGCACTCCCAGCACTCCCAGTCACCTCACACCTCACACCTCACTTGCTTACCTCGCGTTCCTACGGATATTCCTGCTGCTCGCCTTTGTCACATCTCTGATTCATCGAATTCTGCTTTGCCTTGGATAGCAATGGGATACGAATACTCCCGAGTCCCAGAACTCCCAGCTGCATCGCCCCTGGCATGGCACTGCATGGGAATGCACCGTCAAGGCTGCCGAAAGTGCTTACCAAATTCAACACCCTTGACCATCTCGCTGTGTTCGCCGACGCAGATTCCCAACCACGATGTTCCCTGATCCATCGGACTCCATCAGCAAAAAGAAGAACCACCCGATCGATGCCATCGTCGTGTGTCAAGCTGTAGCAACCGAGCATCGCGGGCAGAGCGCAAACCCATCTGCAATCCACTCCCTGTCTGTCAATGCAGGTCGCAATGATCTTGGAGCTCGGTGCGGATTGCGGCTTCCACCTGGGAATATGATGAATCATCGGACACCACTAAACGTTCCCGCTTTGTTCCCAGACTCTGTCTTTGGCTTTGGTGCCGTCCGCCATCGCCGCAGCCGCCCCCTACTACGAACACACGCCCATTACACGCCACAGCCACTTGGCCGATCCATTGATGGATTGGGAATGACAGCTCGGTACGAGAGCAGAGCCTCCAGGCTCCAGACTCCCGACTCTTCGCAAGCTTCAGCGCCTTCATGAACGCTATCGAGTCAGTCTCCGCTTTAACTCACGGTATCAACACTGCAGTCTGCGCGGCACTTATTTCGCGCACAACTTATTTGGAAGCTTTGGTATTTGCCTACCCTACGCCCCTCCCTTCCTCCCTCCAGAGAGCCAAAATCAAAAGAGACGGATTGTTGGTTGATACTTTCAATCCTACTTTGAGTCGCTCAGCTGAATGAATATGCAGCTGGGCACCCTGTTTCGACAAGCTTCAAGACCTCGAAGATGGACTGTTATTCGTCAACATCACACCAACCTCCAGCTGAACCAGGGTACCAGCTCCAGTATTTTCTGAGCTAAAACTCGCTGGCGTATCATGCGTTCTGACAAGACTCTTCGCTTGTTCGTCAAGGTGCACATCGTTCCCAACCCGCTACTTGTATCATTGAGCGTATAGATACGCCATTCGGGTTGCATAACGCTGGCCGTGGTCAAGTCGAGTCATAAGAGGGAAAAGAAAGTTAACCATTTTCCGAGGGAGATTCCAAAACTCATCTGCTAGAAAGCCGCACTTCGCGATAGCTCTCAAGCGGCGGTAACCGGCCTCTGCTCCCGCGTGCGCCAAAGGCTAAAATTGCCTTGCCTTGTTCACATATTACTTCCAATGAAATGGTCGGGGCTGATACACAACTAGGTGCCGGAACTTGAACCCCTGGCCAGGGCGACGACTCCCTTTAACTCGATCTGCGTTCAGAGCTTGGCCGCCCGGCATCACAGCTCCAGGAAGTTGCAAGTTTGTTCACGTTCTGGCAAACGGAGAGTAATTGTGATGGACAGTGACAAGCCAACCGCGCTTCCTCAGCCTGGCAGTCAGTGCTGCGCCGAAACCCCCCAGATTACTTAGCCAATGACGGCCGTCCGCGCCAACCCTCGATCTGCGGGCTCGATGCTCAGAGAGCCATACTGATGGATCGGACCGGGTATCTGCGTTGGTGGCCCTGTGGTAGAAATGCCACGCTCTGCTTGGTTACGGCTTTTCTGACGGCACCGATTTGTGCTCCCATTCTAGGCCCTTGATCCTGAACTATGTAGCAATCGTGTCGGAGATTCCTCCACCACAAAACGTGCGTTGGCTTAGTGCTTGGCTCTTAAGCAAACGGCGCCCCGCCGTCACCTGCGGACACCTGCTGTTGCACTGCAGTCGCGGGTTTCACTTTTTGACAACGTGGATGTCGTTTCTTCTTCCAGAACTTTGAATGCGACAAGGGGCGCGCTACAGCATGCCTCGCGATGCAAATGAGTAGCGGCAAGGCTGGTATCGGAAACCCACACTCAACACCAAATGCTACACGAGGGGCCTAGAATCTGAGGAAGGAATTGCCTTTGCGAAGGAAGCCGATCTCGAATCGGCTCTGTGCATCGTATCTCGCTGCTTGCTCACAGAATATGACACCTATGCCATGCCGTCGATGCAGATGCCGTAGGGCAGTCTTAACCATCGAATTCTTCCGACCGATATTACTCTGCCGGGCCGCAGCTTGTCGAACGAGGTCTCATTCCCGCGCCGAAATTCTAGGCCCGCCTATCCCCGGTGACACCCGGGCGAGGTACCGGACTCGGACTTCCCGTCCCACATCTCATCGACATCCGGATCGGGGTTGCGAAGCCGACCTAGGAAATATCCTTGTCTCACATTTCCCAACGACAACGACTTTCATTCCAGACTTCAAGTTCTCCATGCCACGCACGTCACTGCGTGCTCGCCACGCTACAGCGTTTTCGAGAGCCTGAATGTTTTCACCTATCGCGTGCTTACTTACCTATCCCTGTCTGCAGGTCTTAGACTTAACGCCGCTGCAAGGACTCGCCCGTGCCTGGCATGCGAACAGGTTGGCAGAAGAAGTCTCGACCGTGACCGACTCTCCTACGCGTCATTAGCTCAGATTCTAGCCTCCGTTCACCCGCACATTGTCTGGTAGACTTCAATCTTCAATTTTCTGTCGACATTGAATGCGTTCACGGTGCCTCGCCAGCTTGGTAAGATTAGCTATAGAACATTTCCAAGCTAAAGAACATATCCCAAGCTCAGACACTGGTTTATTATCACGTCCGGGGTGCAGCGGCTAGAATTGCGGTAATCCTCACATACCCCTCTCCACCTCTTCGAATCGATAAATGCATGCGCATTCGCTATTCGCGGTTTTTCTAAGAGATTGCTCTCTGCCATCTGCCTCCCATGCATTCTAGGTAATCTGATTATCCAGCCTGATACGACGGAAAGTTCGATGATGGGCCTGGGCCCCAGATGTGTATGTCCGGAAAAAGAAAAGAAAATAAGGAGAAGGATCGTCCCCGAAGATCATCGCCCAACCGTCCTATGGCATCATCAGTTTCAATTACCTCCGAACCAGGTCTCTGGAGCCTAGGTAATGCATCCGTCATGTTTATAGCCGATGCCAATCAAGTGCGATATCATGAATACCCATAGCATTTGCCTGCTATTTCCGGATCGCCATGTGGCTGCTCTACGTTTGAAAAGTCTAGGCAATCTCGATGAGCGAGTGTGCCATCATCCAGACGTCTTTTCTGACTACTGGCAGGCAGTTATAGTCGAGCGATCTTTTCCTTGCGCAGTTGTTGATATCACCGTGTCAGCTTGACCAGGCCACGGGGCGTATGTACCAGGCCGATGCTGAAAAATACCCATCGACTCCGTAGAAGAGCTCTGATGGCACGATGGATTACAGTCGGGGGCCACGCTGCAACATAGGAATTCTCCGCGTAGTCGAGTCGAGTGACGTCTTAGTTGAAGTGGCGATTTCTCGCGTATGTGTGCTTCTCGGCTGCCAAAAAAAAAAAAAGACGCTAAAACTCCACTTCTTCTGGGCCAACCTTTTTTCCACCGGTGATCAGTGGCGGCTCTCCCCGGAGCCGAGATGACCAGCCCGGGACTCTGATGGCACGCATGGCTTAGGTAGGTGCCTAGTGACGACATGGGCAAGGGAACCGCATTGCAATCAAGGTGGGAAGGTCCTCGTGGCATTGCGCTCCACGAAACGGCAGCAAGGGCCGGCCCGGTGCTTTTTTCGATAGCTTAAACATTTAGAGATCTCGTTCGGAAGGAGTGGGATATGAATCGGCTGGGTTCCGATGGATCGCTTAGCAGCGGCTACCCTGGCGAATTTCCCAGATATGATGTGATGGCCCTGTGGTACCGGCCTGTCGTGGCTGTTACAGGTCTCACGTAGAATCCGTCAGTGTAGACGGGAAGCTAATTCGCGATTCCTCGCGTATGTTGGGGATCTAGTCCATGATTGCTTGGACCGCGATCACGGGGGTTATTGCTCTGGCCCGACGACGGCATTCGTGCTACATGAGAGCGTTATCTTTTCGAGTGGTAGCATGATCGCTCAACATATCAAACCTTTCCCTAGATGCAGGTGCTCCAAGCAAAGGTCTTCGCCGTTGTGCCATACTACATCAATGGCTCATCCTTTTATCAACGCACAGTTGATAGACCCGTAAGAAGTGGTGCCTCAACCGTAAGGTGACTTGACCAGCAGCCCCTGGCTTGGCCACGATCTATGTCTCTGCTGATTGGGAGACATTTCAAACTCATAGCATATCTCGAAGCAGTATGGTGTTTGAACAGTTGCGCATTGAGAAGGTGGACCCGTAGTTGTCGAGGAAGTAGGTTTGACGGAGATATGAAAACCCCAAGGCCGATTATGGCAGTCATTTTACTTTATGCACTCTATCCCTTCAACTTCGAGACGGCGGCAATATATATTTACGTCCTTTCCTGAAGGAGAACACTGAGTTGTGTAGCATTGAGCTAACCCTATTTCCCTTGAATCTGTCTATGAATGACATCAAGTAAGGTAGAATTAGAGAAAGACTGGAGACAGAAATTCCGACGCCATCTAATAGTTGATGCCATAATAGCAAGAATGTGAAATCCCGGGGTATAGACGTGGAAAGAGGAAAACAGAATGCAAGAACCAACAGCTAACACGAACACTTCCACCCCCAAGCAGCCACTACGATGACTGTTGACTCGAAGACACCTCAGGACGCAACCAATCAAACGTATCAAGCAAATCAAAGTTGAAATCAAGCTGCGTAGAGAAATCCCAGTCCATGGGGACATCCAGCATTACCCCGGCGGGCAACCCGCCGTCGACGGCGGACGAGGCCGACGCCGCGGGGCTGTTGAGCGCCTGGTCGAGGACGCGCTGGATGATGACCTTGCAGTCGGCGCAGAGGTCGCCGTTGGGCGCCGTGGGGCTGACCCAGTCGAGGAAGCCGACGAGGAGGCTCAGCTTCTGGATAATGCTCGAGCGGGAGACTTGGGGGTTCTGCGGGTGGTGGCCGCCTTGGAGGGTGGGTTTAAGGAGTTCCATGCATAGGATGCCGCCTCCGGGAGCCGCGTAGGCCATTACCTAGTTGAATGTGTAAGTGTTCGTCGTGTTTGTTCCCAAGTGCAAGAGGTGTTGGAAGAGGAAGGGTGTTCCGGGGGGGGTTCGACACGTACGAGCCATTCAAAGTCACCGTTCATGCAAGATAGACGATCCATGTTTGTCCAGAACATGAGGGTCTTGGAAACCATTTCAAAGCTGACAGACAGCAATGCGCCGTCATCGTGGCCTCTTTTCGCGAGTAGCCGCTCGATGAAGAACATGTTTTGGAGGTGTTCCAGCTTCATGATGAGTCGGGTGTACAGTAACGAGATGTCGAGTTTCCTGTTCTGCACGTCTTCTTCTCTCAGGGTCATGATATCGGGGAACCCAGCAACAGTCCGAAGTTGTCTTTCTTTGATTTCTCTGGAGGATGAGTATTAGCAACGTAATCATGTATTTCACGTAGATAGGTGTAAGTGACAACTGCCACAATCATCACTCACAACAACGTCTCAACCAGCGTCACGGAACCCTGTCCGAGCGCGATCTCGAATATTTCGTCCCGGATATGTGCCAGCATCACGCGGGCCCGGACGATGGTGGCAGAGTAGAGTTCGCCCTTGGTGTTCCATCCGT